TATCTTTCTCATTGTACTTTCATTGGCAAATGAGCCAAACTGGACGTTATGAGCTGACCACAATAAACATAGGGGAAAATTCAATATAGGGCGATCCAACATGATATAAAAAATACTTATACATGTGACATACATGCCTATAAGGCCAACATGGTCATTTGTAAACTAAAAACATAGGCCGACAAGGCCATACATGTATCCGTATATATGACATCTGTCTAGAAGCTTCTAAGAATACTTATTTATCATAAAGGTCGGGACAGGGCCCCGCTATACCAAACAATACACGTCTAAATTATACTGACTAAACAAGTAACTCCGGAGCAAATGGAGCACACCAACATTTTTCGCTGAGCTAATAATCTACTTGGAGGACTCTCGACCTGTCTATCGGAACCTGCGAGCATGAAACGCAGCTTCCCCAGCAAAAGAGGCGTCAGTACAAATACTGTACCGAGTATGTAAGGAATGAAAATCAATAAATAATAGATATGAGAGAAACATAGAGTAAAATACTCGACATATAACTCTGAATAGCTCGGTAAATCCTTTAATATTTAAAATGTCATGCATATGCATATAAATGTCATACCATGCATGGGTATATGCGTTCATAACATCATCAAGCCTCTTAGGGCATCCCATCATATCATCTCGGCCACTGTGGGCAAATCATCAACGTATACCAGCTGATCAGGTGGTGGTGCGTATATAACGCCGTAACATTTTTCATATCCCATATACATACATATATATATATATATATATATATACACATATACATATATATATACATATATACATATATATACATATACATACATATATATATATATATATATGTATGTATATGTATATATATATGTATATGTATATATATATGTATATGTGTATATATATATATATATATATATATGTATGTATATGGGATATGAAAAATGTTACGGCGTTATATACGCACCACCACCTGATCAGCTGGTATACGTTGATGATTTGCCCACAGTGGCCGAGATGATATGATGGGATGCCCTAAGAGGCTTGATGATGTTATGAACGCATATACCCATGCATGGTATGACATTTATATGCATATGCATGACATTTTAAATATTAAAGGATTTACCGAGCTATTCAGAGTTATATGTCGAGTATTTTACTCTATGTTTCTCTCATATCTATTATTTATTGATTTTCATTCCTTACATACTCGGTACAGTATTTGTACTGACGCCTCTTTTGCTGGGGAAGCTGCGTTTCATGCTCGCAGGTTCCGATAGACAGGTCGAGAGTCCTCCAAGTAGATTATTAGCTCAGCGAAAAATGTTGGTGTGCTCCATTTGCTCCGGAGTTACTTGTTTAGTCAGTATAATTTAGACGTGTATTGTTTGGTATAGCGGGGCCCTGTCCCGACCTTTATGATAAATAAGTATTCTTAGAAGCTTCTAGACAGATGTCATATATACGGATACATGTATGGCCTTGTCGGCCTATGTTTTTAGTTTACAAATGACCATGTTGGCCTTATAGGCATGTATGTCACATGTATAAGTATTTTTTATATCATGTTGGATCGCCCTATATTGAATTTTCCCCTATGTTTATTGTGGTCAGCTCATAACGTCCAGTTTGGCTCATTTGCCAATGAAAGTACAATGAGAAAGATATGTTATGTTGGTACTCGATTAAGTAAGGTACCAGATGCCCGTTGCGGCCCATAGGTTTGGATCGTGACATAAATATACTTATTGTGATGTAATTTATAAATATTTCCTAAACTTTTTCTTAATTTTTTGTTTTAAGGTATTATTTCAAGGTTGGACTTAGAACTTTTGAATGTTCCAATTAGTTTTATAGCCATTATTATTAGTAACTTAAATAATGTAAGTCCAAACCAAAATCAAATTAATATTAATATTAATGCTAACAAAAGATATTCAATTCAATACTACGAACGGTAATGTATTGAATATCTATTTTTTATTTTGCAATAATTTAGATTAAAACTGCATAATCTATTTTTTTTTTCTTTAGCGTTTAGTCATGTAATTAATACTTCCTTATTAGTCTACTTATTTTAGCATAACTTAGTACTTTTAGATTCTGTTTATTTCTATTATGGCTTTTTAATTAGCAATATTTATATTACATAATTTTATTGTCTTTATTATTGAATATTTTAAGATAATGCCATGACACATCTCATATTTTGTATTATTTTCTTGGAAAATACCTTATATAGTTGTATCTTACTAAGATTAAAGAAATATTTTGAGCACAAGTTATATGTTTTGTGCTACGAAGATTTTTTACCAGAAAAAACCGAATAACTCGAAAACCCGAGAAAAACTGAGATTGAAAAACTCGAATTTTATTGATTTGGTTTGGTCTTTAGATTTAATAATCCGACACAATTAGTTTGGTTTGGTAATTACAAAATCTGAACCAACCCAACGTATATGCACCCTAGTCAAACCAATCTGGCTATCTTCTTTATTAGAGAAGTCAGGTCAATATTAACTGAATGTTCATTTGATTCAAATAACTCATTTACAGATTGAATCAGTATTAACTAATAATAGAACAAAATAGAAGTGAAATTCTATATAGGCAATTCCATCAAATTGGGATTAAGTTTAAGTTTTTTGTCAATACATGGCCTACATTGCATTTGTGAGATTTATCCTAGGTAGACACTCGCATATTTGCATATAAGTGTGACGTTAATTAGAGAAACTCTACTTTTAGCCTGTAATTTTTCTTAAAACTCAAACTATTTATATTGGAGACAAATTGATGTAAATATAGTGTAGTGGATAAAGATGATTCATGTAATTAATTAATCCCAACTAATTTTGAATTGGACGATACTTAGTGGGTCATGGGTGTTTGGACATAAGAATTGTAAAATTCCAAAAAAAAAAAAATGAAATTGTTTTTCAAGTGAAAATATTATTTGAAAATTAGAGTTGTGTTTGAACATAAATATAATTTTGGGTTGTTTTTGAATTTTTGTGAGTGATCTGAGTAAAAATTTTGAAAAACGATCTTTTGGAATTTTTTAAAATTTTGAAAAATTCCAAAATTCATCTTCAAATAAAAATTAAAAATTTTATGGCCAAACACCGATTTCGAAAGTGAAAAATTCTTAGGTCCAAACGGGCTCTTAATTTTTTTTAATGCATGATTCTCCGAGAATTGTTTTTTATTATATTGAGGATTATTTAATTTATTTACAGTTTTTGGGTGTTTGTCCACTTTCACCAATCATGCTACTTTCAAGCCTTTCTGTGGTTACGTTGCTGCAGTTCCCATTTTTGTAGTTACTTATTAGTTTACTTTCTTAATTTATCAAACAGAAAGAAAATTGCACATTCTCATCCGAACAAAAACTATGAAGATTAATACTTTCTTTATGCCCCCAAAATGGAAACAAACAACCTAATCTTCAGTTCTCTCTCAAACTTTTACCATAATTTTCTGCTTTATCTCTTTTCAATTCTTTCTCTGAAAATTTTACATAAACATTTTCTTTTTCTTCTCATTCAAAAACTAATTTTCCTACACAATTAAGGTCATGCAAGTATTGCATTGATAACAGTAACTGAGCCAGGAATTCTATTAAGAGAATTCAAAAAGCTGCATGCAACTTCGAACCTGTGATCAGCTAAAGTAATTTTTGAATCGCTTCTGATCAAACTTTAAGTAATTAAATAAACAAAATACCGGTGATCAATACGACGACGTAGGGAGATGCAAAATGGCGGACGAGATAGTAGTAACAAGCTCGGAGAACAAAACAGAGGATACGATTGTATGTTATGCTCCTATGATGATAACCACGAATGGAATATGGCAGGGTGATAATCCACTTGATTATTCCTTGCCTCTATTCATATTGCAATTGACATTGGTGGTTGTCATCACTCGCCTTCTCGTTTATATCTTGAAACCACTTCGTCAACCTCGTGTTATTGCTGAGATTCTTGTAAGTTTACACAATTCTCCAATTTATATGATCGCATTTTCCATTGTCATTTTTGTCAACATTATTTCTTATGCGGCTAGGAGGTCGCAAGTTCAAACTGGGAGGACTCTCGCATAAGTGTAACGTAGAATAATGTATATATAACATAGCCAATGTAGCACAGTGCTTCCTCAGGGCGGACCTTAGTGTACCTAGATACCCTTTATTTGTCAACATCATTTCATATATTAATTAAACCATGAATTTTATAATGAACAATTTTAAAGGTTGTAAGACCAATTAAAATTGTATTGTTTTTGTTGGATAAAATGAATTAGAGTTGACAATAATAACGGTGATATTCTTGGTATGGATAATCTTTTCTTTCTTTTCATTTGGTGAAATGGTGATAAAGTAATATTATTTCTGTTAACTTAAGTTGTTTTGTATACTATATTAATATTGTGCAGAATGGTGGCAGGGTGGTGTAATATTAGGGCCATCAGTATTGGGAAGAAGTAGCAAATTTGCTAATACAATATTTCCTCAAAGAAGTGTAATGGTTCTTGAGACAATGGCAAATATTGGCCTTCTTTACTTCCTCTTTCTAGTTGGAGTAGAAATGGACATTGATGTGATTAGTCGAAATGGTAAAAAATCCTTGATTATAGCAATAGCAGGCATGGTATTGCCATTTATACTAGGGAGTTCATTCTCCTTTATGTTGCATGAGACCTCACAACATACTAAACAAGGAACTTTCATCCTCTTCCTTGGCCTTTCCCTTTCTGTTACTGCATTTCCTGTTCTTGCCAGAATCCTCGCGGAGCTCAAACTTATAAACACTGAAATTGGGAGGATCGCGATGTCAGCTTCACTTATTAATGATATGTTAGCATGGGTTGTGTTAGCATTTGCTATTGCCTTTTCTGAGAATAAAAATATGACATTGGCTTCACTTTGGGTGATTCTATCAAGTACAGCCTTCATTTGTTTTTGCTTTTTCGTCGTTAGGCCATTGATTGGAAGGAGGATTAGACAAACCCCAGAAGGCGAATCGATTAGTGAGTTCAATATATGTCTCATTCTCACAGGAGTTATGGTTGCTGGATTCATAACAGATGCAATTGGAACACATTCTGTTTTTGGAGCTTTTGTCTTTGGTTTGATTATACCAAATGGTCCTCTTGGTTTGGTACTTGTGGAAAGGCTAGAGGACTTTGTTTCGGGTCTTTTGCTGCCTCTTTTTTTTGCCATTAGTGGTCTCAAGACAGAGATTACTGCTATTGATGGAGTTGGAACATGGGCAATTTTATTTGTTGTAATAATCCTAGCTTGTGCTGGCAAAGTACTAGGTGTATTCCTTGCAACTCTCTATTACAAAATGCCATATCATGAAGGCCTTTCTCTTGGTCTACTCATGAATGCCAAAGGCCTCATTGAGATGATTGTGCTCAATGTTGGTAAAGACCAAAAGGTAATTAACATATACTGCTTCATCTTCTTGTAGAATGGGAGCCTCGGAGCAACGGTAAAGTTGTCTTCGTGTGACCTTTCACGGGTTCGAGCCGTGGTAACCGTCACTAATGCTTGCATTGGGTAGGCTGTCTACATCACACCTCTTCGGCAGCGTCCGATAAAGTAGTTTCCGTGACCTATAGGTCTCGGGTTCGAGCCGTGGTAGCAGCCACTAATGCTTGCATTAGGATAGGATGTCTACATCATACCCCTTGGGGTACGGCCCTTCCCCGGATCCTGCATAAACGCGGGATGCCTTGTACACCGGGCTGCCCTGACCTTTTTGCTTCATCTTTTTATCATTACACAAGAATCAGTACACTTTTCTTAATAATTTATACTAAATGTTTATGTAAAATGTAGGTTTTTGATGACAAATCTTTTGCTATAATGGTGATGGTAGCAATAGGCATGACTGCAATCATCACACCCATTGTGACAGTAATTTACAAACCAGCAAGAAACTTTGTCCCATATAAGAGAAGAACAGTTCAAAGAACAAAGTTGGATAGAGAATTCAGAGTACTGGTTTGCATCCACACAACTAGAAATGTTCCAACAATTATCAATCTTCTTGAAGCTTCCTATCCTACCAAGAAATCACCAATATGTATATATGTCCTACACCTCGTCGAGCTCACTGGACGTGCATCCGCAATGCTTATTGTTCATAACATGAGAAAAACAGGAAGGCCAGCAATTAACAGAACACAAGCTCAATCTGATCACATCATCAATGCATTCGAGAACTTTGAAAAGAACGTCGGATGTGTTTACGTGCAGCCTCTCACTGCTATCTCCCCTTACTCCACAATGCATGAAGACATTTGCCTTTTAGCAGAGGACAAAAGGGTGGCACTAATAATCATCCCTTTTCACAAGCAACAAACAGTTGATGGTGGAATGGAAGCTACAAATCCAGCATTTCGAGCTATTAACCAGAATGTATTAGCAAATTCACCTTGTTCTATTGGAATTCTTGTGGATAGAGGCTTAAGTGCATCAAGAATGAACCAAGTTTCTCACCATATCGCCGTACTGTTCTTTGGCGGACCAGATGATCGCGAAGCATTAGCGTATGCATGGCGAATGAGTGAACATCCGAACACCAATCTCACTGTTCTTCGGTTTCTCCCCGGAGAAGCTGCAATTGAAGCAACAAGATCAGATTCAACCAAAAGCAGGAATGATCACAGCATACTAACAGTAGCAACAGACAGCGACAAGGAAAAGCAACTAGACGAGGAATATATAAAAGAATTCAGGACAAGAACAACTAATGATGAGTCAGTAATTTACACAGAAAGAGTAGTGAATCATGGAGAAGAGACAGTAGCAGCAATAAGGAGTATAGATAATTCACATGACTTGTTCATAGTTGGTAGAGGACAAGGCAACATTTCCCCGTTGACGGCCGGGCTAACTGACTGGAGCGAATGCCCGGAGCTTGGAGCAATTGGTGATCTTTTGGCTTCCTCAGATTTTGCAATGAAAGTTTCAGTTTTGGTAGTGCAGCAATATGTTGGAATAGGAATAGGGGATCAAGTCACCACCCCGGATAGTCCTAGCCGACATTATGAACACTTCAACATTGATCATTCGAATCGCAGGCCACAAACCAGAGAACAGCAACCTGGCTTTCATTCACAACCCTGAAAATTTGGTAGGATTCTTGTTCATATCAAATTTTTTGAATAGTACTGTAGCTTTTTTTTGTTTTGTTAAACCTGTTCTTGAATTTTGCTGCATGTAAATTGTAAAGCTTCCTACTAAGCCAGCTACAATCTTTGATGTATTTGGTCTTCCATTAAAAGAGTAAAGTGAAGATAATCATAAAACGAGTTCATTTTCCACTGTTGTTTCTATTGTCCCCTTGGTTCCAATTGTGATTAATATGAATGTCACATCCCTCACCTACACAGGATTCTAGAATTGGGATTCCAAAAGAATTTGTTTTGCTAATTGGAAAATCGAGTTAATATTTGGAATTAATTATGTGGTGGATCAATAATTTACACAGTTACCCACAAAAATAAAACTATTTACCCTTGTCTGCCCATTTGTTTTTCTACCCATGAACTAATTATATTTCCTACCTATAGTAGGTTTTGTGGGGAATTTTTTCTTTATTCTCCAATTCATTTTTATTTCTATGCTTCTTTTTTTTTTCTTTTCTCTTTTTCTTTTTTTTTCATTTTCTTCTTATTTTTTTCTTTTTTCCTATTCTAATTTCATTTAACTTCTTTTTTTTAATATTCTTTTTCTCTTCATAATCTAATTTTATTTACTATTTTTACTATTTTTTATTATTCTTTTTTTATATTATTACTAAAAAAAATCAAATTGTGTACCAATTAAATGTAGCTAATACAACCAAAAAAATATTAACTAACATATGATATCAGTATAGTATATATCTATACCAACAGGATATACAACTATACGCAAAGAGTTAAAAAAGTTTAATTCAATTATTAGACTGAAATAATATCAGTTGTCAATAAAAATTTCAAAAATTCTAAAAGGATCGAATTGTAAGAGTATACCATTACATTATATAGCATACTATAATATATATATATATATATATATATTTTTTTTTTTGCATTTTCAATTTGCCTCTCACTCTAGGTAAAAAGCTTAAAACAAATTAAAAGGGAAAAGACAAGTGAATTTTCGGGTAATAAGTATACTACTATAGTATATTATATACTATAACAACATATTATTATAGTATATTGCATATTATTACAGTATACTATAACAATATATTGTATACTATAATAGTATATAATTGCAGTATAACTACATACTCTTATAGTATATTGTATACTGTAGCGGTATACTGTTAGGTAACTATGTTCTTTTTCGATTATTACAATATACTATTGCAGTATATTGTAAGCTATAATAGTATATTGTTGCAGTATAGCTATATACTCCTACAACATATTATATATCGTAGCGGTATACTATAATTGTGTTCTTCTTCGATTTTCAACTGAAAATTTCGATCTCAATCACCTCAAATAAACTCCAAATGCTATCAAATTTCAGTATGAACTTCTAGAAGGTATTATAAGAAATATTTAACAGCACCCACTTTGAATCAAATAAGAAATCTTCAAAATAAAAATTTTAAACTCAAGAGCTTCAAGCCCAACAATGGTGAATATTCAAGTACATATAAAAATTTAGACGCGGAGGATCGACAGCACATGGTAAAAAGGGAAACCTTTTATCTCTCCCATTTAGTCAAAACAAAACAAAAGAAGAAACGTCATGCCTAACGCTAACACTTTCCACCTACCTACACTCTGTCGCCTTTCTCAAGTACTATAATTACAGCTCATATTTCGCTTTAACAACAGATACCATTTCCCAGCTGTAGAGCAAATCAACAACATTATGGATTCAGAGTCACTACATGGTTCTATTATCTTCTCCACCGTTGGCAGAACCAATTACGACTTCGATATCTTATCCCTCAAATCTCCCTTTTCTTTCCTTGATTCTCCACTCCATAGTACCCAATATCGCACAGAGCACGGCCTTACCGATGGTTCCTCCGTTAATTTTAACGGCCAGTTCGTTGACGAAGATGAGACTCTTATCTTTGTTTCCGAGAGATCAAGCTTATTCTTCTTGTATTGATGAATATTTATGAAAAGTAATACTCCTGTAGTAGTACAAGAAGACGTATACAGTTGGAACTTGGAAGTTAGAAGGTGTCGGGTAAATAGTTTGGGCCCCATGGGTAGGAGTAGTAAATAATTTGGGTCTGGGCATTAAAGGGTAAATATTTTAGGATTAATGGGTATAAAGTGAGATTTTCTCATAAAAGAATGACAGCTGGCAAAGAGTACACAAAGAGACGCGGGCCTTAATAGATACGGGCAAAGGTTCAAGAAAACAAGAAGGAACGGTTACTCGGATCTCTTAATAATTTGAAGGGACATCGGTGGAATGAACCAAGATAGCAAAAAAGTACATATACGTATTATCTGCAATTAATGAGCATAAATAATGGGAACGTTATAGAATCTTCACGAAACAGTTACGATTGCCAATTATAACATTTTATTAATGTCATTAATTGCTCATAATGGCTTTATTATGGGAAGAAAGAAACGTAGTACATAGAAATAGCTTTAAAAGGAGAGAAATAACATTTTTAATGGACACACTGGTTATTATTGGAATATACTGATTTACATTGCTTTATTTTGCTTACTCGGCTACTTCTCAATTCAATTTTTCTTTTTCATTATATCATTATTTCTTTATTTGATTATCAGTAACCCGAGTTCTTCTAAAATTAAGCTTTGACCGAAATTTCTATTTTTCGGTTAAACAAAATGGTAATGTTACCAGGAATCGGATAATTTTTTACTTTCTAAACTCTTTTGTCAAAACAATCATGTTGAATGTCAACGACAACAACCAACAAAATTTACAGTACCAAGAAAATCAACAACATCAGAAGAATCAACAAGGCGATGGAACTCCAGTCCCTTCACAACGAAACTCTCCTCGACAATCCCGAGAAGGGACTCCTGACGGATCTGAATCAAATATGAACGAGCAGTTTGAGAATGATCAAGCTATTGATGAAGCTTTGAAAAAATTAATCGCTCAACAAGTGAGTAATGCTCTTCAGGCTTTTGCTAACCAGTTGCCGGTTGTACCACCAACCAACTCCAAACATCAACACCGTGGAAAATCCTCGCTCAGGACACGTTAACTCAGGTAGTGGAGGAACTCCCAGCGAATCTCGTGATGGAGGGTCAGGTAACCCAGTTAATTCTAATTTACAAAGTTTAGTACTAACTTTGCAGAAACAGCTCAAGGAGCAGAGCGATCCCATTGAGCAGATACCTGGAGTGCCGCCCGTAATCAAGGGAATAGATATGGACAAATACTCTTAGCAACCTTGGAAGTCAAATGTCGCTCTTTTACCAATTCTAAAGAAATTCAAGATGCCTGATATTCCGAAATACGATGGAACAACTGATCCACGGGATCACGTAACTGCATTTACAACTGGTGTAAAGGGCAACGATTTGATCAAGCAAGAAATTGAATCAGTATTGGTCAAAAAATTCGGAGAAACACCCACGAAGGGAGCATTGCCTCTTTTACCTGAAAATTTTATTAATTCTTTTCCTGAGCTTGCAGATTCATTTATCAAAGCACACTCAGGAGCTCAAAAAGTTGAAAAGTGAATGAAGGACATTTTCAAACTAAAACAAGGAAATACAGAGCTGCTCAGGGAATTCATAGATAGATTCCAGCGTGAAAGGATGATGTTGCCATGTGTACCTGATAACTGGGCGGCTATGGCCTTTGCTAGTAATCTAAATGAAAAAAGCTCGGAAGCCACGAGGAGACTCAAAGAAAGCTTAAGAGAATTTCCAACAACAACTTGGAATGATGTTTATAATATATACAACACAAAGCTATGGATAGAGGAAGATACTATCATTGAGTCTCGGAAAGATGAAAGAGTGAGTTCAAGACGAGCTGAAACTGAAAAAAGATCCGATAAAAACAGGTACGAACCTTACATGGGACCAGCAGGAAGGGATTCTCATTCAAAACAGGAAAACCCAAGGTATGATCCTAGATCAACAGATAGAGAGTCAGGTTCATCATCAAGGTTCGGAATAAAACGAAACATGCGAGATACGCGAGATGATGACAGAAGCTCGAAAGCAAAAATCGGCGGCTACAGTTTTAATGTTAGCACATCCGAGTTGGTGGATGTTTTAAGAAGCATGGGAGACAAGGTATGGTGGCCAAAAGAAATGAGATCAAACCCAAATAGGAGAAATCTCGATTTTTGGTGCGAGTTTCATAACGATCACGGTCACGGTCACAAAACGGCGGATTGCATATTGTTACAAGGTGAAGTAGAACATTTATTAAAACAAGAGTACTTAACTAAATTGTTTAGTGAAAAAGGAAAGCAAGCATATATGAAGAATAAGCAGGAACCGCCAAAACCTCCTTCACCAAAAAGGATGGTTAATGTCATAAGTGGAGGGGAAGAGATCAATGACGTAACATATACGGTAGCAAAGAAGATGTCAAAAATTACAGTTACCCACGGAAAGCGAGTTCGATAGGTTTTGGAAGAAGATAGTATAAAATTTGATGATGCTGATGTAGATGGCGTGCTGACCTCACATAATGATGCACTAGTAATATCTTTACTTGTACATGACACTAACGTAAAACGAGTTTTGATTAACCCAGGTAGTTCTATGAATATCATTCTGTTGAGAGTGGTAAACGAGATGCAAGCCAATGATAAGCTAATACCCAAGACACACACCTTCTTTGGTTTTGACAACTCGAGCATCATAACAAAATGGGAGATAATACTCACCACATTCGTAGAACGAGTAGTCAAAGACACCAAATTTCAAGGAGTAGAAATGGATATGGCTCACAATATGATTCTCGGTAGACCATGGATTCACGAAATGGATGTTGTTCTATCTACTTTACATCAAGTTATCAAATTTCCTTCACAATGGGGAATATGACAAATCCGTGGTGACCAACAAGCTTCTCAAAGCATTAACTCCGTGGCAGATTCAAGCGCAAAAAGTGATGAAAAATAGCAATCACAGAAATCAGTTGAGGATACAGCAACACGAGCCTCAACTGAAGCGGGGCAAATAGATGTAGACTCGTGGCCTGATATTATTTAAGAACCAGAAGAAAATAAAAACATCAAACAACAATCGAGGAACTGGAAGCTGTGGTACTATTTGTACACTGGCCGGACAGAAAAGTCTACATTGGGACCAACCTCAACCCAGAGATGAAACGTAAGTTGATTGAATTTTTAAAGGCTAACGCAGATTGTTTTGCTTGGTCCCATTCAGATA